AAAAAAACTGAAATTAATTGCTATGAGAAAAATTCAATTAATGCAAAAATTATTGTAAATTAAAATACATGTGCATACATAATAAATATTTCTTAAGAAAAAACTTGATGCAAAAGTAAAAATAAATAAAAAAGATATTGCTTATGAGAAATAAAATAGAGTTTTTTTTTCTTTTAATTGTAATCGAATAATTGCTTCTAAATAAAATATTTGCATACCAACTAAAAGCCAATATAAATAAATAAATTGATAAAATTAACACCGTAATTTTACCGCGAATATTCGCTGCACTTGCAAATAATTGTAAACAAGCTTTTCTCCAATATGCCTACACGCCAATTCGTCTTGCTCATTTGACGTGGTCAGGCGTGATACGAAGACTATGAAGAAAGCAGAAAGGAAATAACGAAAGCACGCCAATGTATTGGTGCGTCATTGAGGAGAGAAATTCATAGCCTGCCAGCTGACGAGCGGCGACCCAGCTCCAGGCGTTGACGAAGTGCTGAGGCAAATAACTAACTACAAAACTGCTACGGGCGTAAATACATATACATACGTAGATATTTATATGCATACGCAAAGTTAAGCAACAATGTTTGCAGATACATTGAGATAAGTGTTTGTTTGTATGTCTGTAATTATATGACTGAATACTCACTTATAAAATGTCTGAGATACGGCTAATTTAAATAATCACTGTTCTTTGTTGGATGCTAGTTTTCCACTCTTCTTCGATGTTGTTGTTACTGTTGTTGTCTTACGTATTGAATGCTGTAAACGTCACCAAAACAGACGACGCACAAAACAAAATTGAAAATCGGTGTTAAAAAACAAAAAACGAAAATCGGAAAATTGGCGTATATTTTCGGGCAGACAATGGCGAGAAAACATGAAAATGCGAAAATTTTAGCAAACAGCTGGCAACGTGCGCTTTTTACTCTTTTAATTTTAAAATATATATTTTTTTGCTTTAACTTCCTAATTTAATTTATTGAATTTTCGGCACTAAATGGAGTGGCGTTGTGCGCGACTTTGTCTAAAACAAGCGACCATTCGACTGACTTTATCGCTGAATCCGTTATTATTAATTATGACAAATGGCATATGTGCCGTCGACGCCGACCTAGCGATAACGCAATGCGGTGGGTGTAGCGCACAAACAAAGGAAGAACGACAGCAAAAACAAAAAAAAAAAAAAAAAAAAAAAAAAAAAAAAAAAAAATAAAAAAAAAAAAAAAAAAAAAAAAAAAAAAAAAAAAAAACGAAAATAAAAAAATATTTCAAAGTCCAAAATAATGAAAAAATTTTCCAAAAGTGGCTATGACGAAATTACACAACTGCGCAAATAGACAATTTTCGCGTTGACTTTGTGCCGAAATCGCGCTGCTTTTTTCACAAATTTTTTGTTTCAATTTTTATTTTCATGCACTTTGCAAAACACTTGTGTTGGTAACATATGCATTTGATTTTCAAGCAATTTACAACTCAATTCTTCTTTATAATTTTTTTTTATATACAAAATAAAAACTTTATTATTTTTCAATATTATTAATTTTTTTATTAAAAAAATTTGCTTCTTAGCAAAACATTAATTTTCACACTCACTTTAATTTTACTATTTAATTTTCTGCGCACAAACTTGTTTGGCTTTTCGCTGGATTTAATAATTTTTACTGCTTCTTCTGCTTCGTTATTTTCGTAGCTCCACGTTGGCAATTTTGCGGTATTTTTTTCTAATTAGTTACTACTTTTTTTTTGATTTTTTTTCTTCATACAAAAATATATTACTCGCTGTTAAGCGTTCTATGCCGTTTCTGCAATCGCGTTTGCATATGTATATGTGCGCGAGTACGTGTGTAAGTGTATGTGTGTCGGAGGAAGTTTACTTGCCGCGTTGGTAGTGTAGCAAGCGTTTGGAGCGACAATGGCGTTGGTGGTGGTGAATGGTAGTAGCGGTGACGACGACGGCGGCGGCGACGGAGGCAAATAATTCTGACTACGAATAATGAGAAAACACGGCGACTACGGAGACCACAACAACCCTACAGCAGCTGATGTCAATGAAGACTGATGAAAACATACCCAGGCCGCAATCAGCCGGTCGTCGGAGCGTAAGCCACTGCAACAATGCTGTTTTGGCTCTGAGAGTCACATGCCACAGTTAATATAATTTTCGTTCTCTAGCTACTCATACTCTTCATTTACGCTCTTAAACGTCTTGCAGCTCTTGATTTTGTGAAAATATTATCAGCGCAGAGTTGCCAATGAAGCATGGTAGGGCACTTTTTGGAGATTTATTTTGTATTGTTTGTTTAGTTTATCAAAATTTTTTAACTATGAAACATATTGGAATAGTAGAAAAAAATTTCAATGAACATTGGAATATCAGTTATGAAAAAAGATCCTGAGATATTCAGATTTTTGTGGGGAAACTAAAATCCATAAGATTTCTATCTACTGAGATAATTGTGTAGACCAGGTCGAAATTGAGTCGAATAGTTATGAATATGTCAAAAAAAGAAATCCGATTGACTGTAATTTAAAAATATCGAGTGAATTTCCATAAACAATAATAAATTTGGTAAAATATGTTTAAATTTAAAGCAGAAAAGTATTCTTAGTATCATAATATAAAAATTGAGATCGATGCTTTAAATCCTGAAAAAATTCAAGTTCAAGAATACTAATAGTTTTAACCAATTAAATGTTTCAGGGTCTTAAAGTTTACTTTAAGAAAAAAAGGCACCCAGGAAGAACCAGATAATAACAGTTTTTATTGTAATTTCTCGTCAACCATAAGCTTACTTATATACACAAGGTGGTCAAATTTGGTCTGAATGAGGTCTATGAGGGCGTAAATGGCTTGCCTTGGTAAAACCATTTTCCTGTTCGTATGAAGTTGGATCTCCCTACTTCAAACAGTGTGTATTCACAGCTGTTTGTTTACGACACGAAAGGTTTGTCTGGATATTTACCATGAAAAATATTAATAAATTGCTGGCTTCAAAGCTTGTGAATAAGTATAATGCGGTCATCGAATACTTGCTTCATAACAGTCGTGTAGCAACTCCTGTTAAAAAAAATCAACGAAAAAGTCGAAGAAACAGTGCTCGAAAATCGTCGTGTTCGCTTTAGGGAGATACGCTCTTTTGCCAGGAATTTTAAACCTCTTCTTTTTTTCCATTTAATGATGGCAACTCTGTCATCTCGTGCGTCTGATTCGTCTTTAGTTGTGAGGAAATTTCTGTCGACGTGTGCGCCTTTTAATTACAAAAACAAAAATAAAAGAACTTACAGTTGTTTTGCGCTTTGTTCTTCCGTTTCTATTATTTATTGTTCTGCTTTTAAGCTCAAGCGCCGGCATCGAAAAGTATCGGCATGACAGCTTCATAAATTGCAAATTTAAAGTTAGAAAAATATACAATAAACATAAAATAAATAACACCACAATTGCATAAAAAGCACTAAATGTGACATACATACATACCGATAGAACCACCGATAACATGAACATACGCGCCACATAGTTAAGCGCCTATTAAGTTTTTAAGCACATAAACACAAACATAGATGCATAAGTATGCGTGCATTTGCGCTGTCGTCAATTTTCTAATATATTTGCATTTAAATTCTAATTTCGTTGTTCCCCTTTTTGTTGGCTTTTCGCCGCTTATCTGGTTCGTGACATTTGGCAAGTGGTACTAAGTATCCAAGTCCATATTGTGCTCGTTTTATTGCTATTTATTTATTTMAAAATATATTTTTTTCATTTATTCGCCTTTAACTGCACACGCACACACACTTCACTTGTGCTTTATGACTTTTTATTTTATGTTTTTGTTGTTGTCGTTGTCGTTCTCTATTGCGGCTAGCAATTTACTAGTTGGTTATTTTGTTGTGCTATTTCTCAAGCAGCGGCGAACTATTATAATAGAAATATTTGTATAGTCGCCGCTCTCTGCGTCTGACGAAAGAGCGGCCATGGCATAAGAGCCGATGTCGTAGACGTGATAGACTGCGGCTTTTATCAGAATTTGTTTGCTTTTCGTGTGAGCGCAATGAAATTAGTTTTATGTGCGTATGTATGGCTGGATGTGTGCGTGTGTGTTTGAGAGAGCGCCAATCGTCGATGTGGCAGATTGAGTCAGCCCAGTGCCACCCAGTTTGGGCACAGTGGAGTAGTTAGTTCAATACTTTAATAATAATGCTATCTTTACATATAAATTTCAAAAAACAAAAAAAAAAACTTATAAAAAGAATGTTTTGCAGCTCTATTAGCCAATTTAAGTGCCCTCAAAAGTATGCTATAATATTTATAATAATTAAAACTGCAAACTCAAGTTTATAGAGTATATATTGGATTAACGAACTAACTTCTTTTGAGATCTTACTCATGGTATAACAATAAAATCTTCGAAGAAGGAATAAATTGCTGGAAATTAAAAGGTGTGCTCGAAAGTATGCTATTTTATTTGTAAGTATATCAAAACTCTCAAATATTACAAAAATACTTTTATGTAAAAAAACACCAACAAAAGTAAGTTTTTAACTTAATTGGAATGAGTTCGGTTAGAACTTTATATTTCGGGATTTGGCAACTCCAGTATTGTAATCTGGATACTCACACCTATATCGTAAGTTTTGATATTTTTGATGCTAGAGGAACGTTTTGACATACCAGCAATATTTGTGTTGTTTATAGTTACTTAAAATATTTATTTCTACTAAAAAATATATTATTACAGTAACAGCGCTCCGATGAGCTGAATTATTGGCGATGAAGCTTCATCAAAGATCAGATGTTATGGTGAATCCAATCGAGGTCGCAGATCGCTTGAAGGCGAATTTCGTGCAAGTCCTCCAAAAGCAGCCCTTGATCGGGAGATACACTTCTCTATACGACATGACCGATTTATACGTATTAACTCTCGAGAATAGTAGTGCACAGTATGGGTAATTCAACAACATCTGTTCGAGCATAAATCACGTTCAAGCGAATGCTTGTCTGTTTTTGTAGAAAAACTGAACTTGTCGGAACCATATCACTAGAACAACGCAGAATAGTAAATTCTGAGTGGTAAACAACCATTTTTGTGCCAGTTGGCTCCTAGAAATCAGGTAAACCAATCATTGAAAACGGATCAGTCATCACTATGACAAAGCGAGCTCTCATACATCGACTGAACAAACTACATTTTTGAGCATTTAAAAAATCGTTTTGATGAGTAATCCACCATAAAGTTTTGAATTGCCACCGAGTGACTTCTTTTGATTTATTTTTTATTACCATTCTAAAAAAAAAAAAAATAAATTAAGAGGACAACGATTTTTGACACGTGAAGAGGCGGTTTTGGAGATACCTGAAACAGGTGGCAAAAGTGCTTTGAGAATTGGTTCAAACGCATGTAATAATCTTAATGAAGAATATTTGGAAAAACAATAAATCGATTTTTTATGGGTAATATTTGTTTTTCCTTTCTAGTCCCGAAATATAAAAATCAAACTTCATAATAGAGCACTGAACTGGATCAGACACATGGTTATACCTCATCAGGAAAGTACCTTTCAAAATACCTTGCTCCGACTATTGTCAATATAATAAGAGTTGTCTGGGATTTATTTAAGAAGATATTATTCAAGAAGATATCATATAAACTATTATCGCGACGTAGATTTTTTAAGTTTGAATTTCATTTTATTTTAATTCTCTGAGCAGGAAAAGTTGATTTATTTTTTAAATATTTTCATGACCAAATAAATTGTGTCGAATATTTGTTCGTAAAATAATTAAAGGAAATCGATGAACAAGACTACGAAATACCGGATGTTTTTCAGCAATACATACATATTTTGAGGCGTAAAAACGCTGACATTTTGAAATTGGAAAAGAAAAATATGACGACTTGAAAAGCACGTTGGAAAAGGACTTCAGTGATAATTCTTTAGCGCGATGGAAATGTCTTGATTTGTAAAAGTTATTGAGGATGGCCATCAACATAAACTGATGATCTTGAGAATCGATATTAAGAGTCAGAGATCTTATTCAATATTTTCGCAAACCAACGTCAAATCATTCTCTGTGAAAGAATGTTTTTCGACTATCAAGATGACGAGAAACGTATTATTACCGGTGAAAAGGTGGGCCGAAGCTGAAAAAACCAAGTCATGGCAGGCCAAAAATGAAGGTTATGTTGACATTTTTCTTTGATTATCGAGAATGTCGTGTAGTCCGAATTCCTTGCACCTGGCCAAACTGTCAACAAAGAATACCATTTGAGTTTCTTATGTCATTTGTGCGAAGCTATTCGTAAAAAGAGACCGGAATTATGAGTTAACAACTCTTGAGGTTTGTACAGCGATAACGTAACTTTGCATACTGCATTGATTCTTGGTGAGTTTTTCACAAAATTTTCAACCAATATCGGGTTGCAATCACCATGTGCGAAGAGTTTAGGTCCGTGTGACTTCTGGCTATTCAGTAAACTCAACGCTCCGGAAGAAACGTTTTGAGTCAATTGGAGACATTAAACGTAAGTTGGTACGGACATTGAAAGATACATATTTCGTAAATTTACTTTAATGACTGGTTTGAGGATTGGAAAAATGTTGAAACAAGTGTATTGGAACAATTGTATTAGGCCCAAGGGGAATTACTTTCAGTAGGAATTACTTTCAGTAGGACCACACCGATTTTGAAGCATAAGTCAAGAATTTTAAAATTATGAACAAAGTGTTACTATTTTTTGTTCATGGTAGTAAAGTGTGTGTGTGTGTGTGTATGTGCGTGTGAGTATGAACACATTTAAGCTAATAAGAGAGCATCAGCGCACAAAAATTAGCTGGAAACAAAAAGTTGAACGAAAGTTTCAATATGTACATAAGTATTATAAATATATATACTATATACACACATTTGAATGAATGCATATATAGACTTATTCATATGTACATAAATATGTTAGTAGCCACATTCAAAGTAAATGTAGTGGAAGCAGCAAAATCAAAATTAATCATAAAAGAATGAATTCACTATTAGAAGCTGATGATTGAGTAAACAGCAAAGCGGCATAATGCGCCTACATGCATACT